CCACCAGCTTCCAGGGCAGGGACATATCACATGTACTGACAGACCTGTCAGTCCATGGGCACATATGCAAGAAGACCTACAGCTGGCCCTGTGGGGTGGGGTCAGTCTGATGACGTCGTACACAAGTGCAAGCACTCAGGGCACAAGGCCTAACCCCTTAAAACCACACCCAGGGAGACACAGTGAGCAGCAGAATGATGAATATGCATCCAGCGGCGACATGGTAAAAGATGGGGCCGGGGAGTTAGCTCAGTGGCATAAGTGCCTGCCTGGCAAGCATGAGTTTGTGAGTTCGATCCCTGGTACTAACTAAATAAAAAAAGTAAAAGATGGGCACCAGGAAGCTATATTCATTCAACACCGGCAGGCCCTGCACTCTTGAAACTGTACCCCATCACAGTATAAAAAAAGTAACACCCAGTAGACAAGACAGAAGTTCCCAGAAGCAGCAGAGAAGTGAAATCAGAAGTGGGAGAGATTTATAATACACACGATGGTATCTGGGAATAAATCTAACAGGAGACATTCAGGTGGTTTAGCAGTAGAGCACAGGCTGGCATGTGTGAGGCCCTGTGTTCAATTCCTAGCACTACCAAAACACAAATACACAAAGATGAGCATGCCGAGAATTGTTCATTGAACAACATTAAAAGTTAGAGAACTTGGGGCTGGGGATTTAGCTCAGTGGCATAGGCGCTTGCCTTGCAAGTGTGTGGTCGTGAGTTTGATCCCCAATACCGATAAATAAGAAAACACACATACACACACAAAAAAAGAACTTTCATTGGATAGTGGTTTCATGAGCATTCCTTATGGCCTGTAACTAAATATTACATGTTACATACTGTAGATGTTACTTGTGTTATTTGTTAAACTGATGATGCGGTGATTTTAAAAATGTCAGAGGCTAGGATATAATTCAGCGGTGAAGTGTGCACTTAGCATGAGATTGAGTTACAGCACATACAGAACAATTAAGATCTGGGTGCAGTTGCCCACCTGAAGGTCTAGCCAACCTGGAGGAGGAAGGATGGTTTGAGCCCAAGAACTTGAGACCAGCCTGGCCAACCTGCTGAAACTGTTGCAAAAAAAAAAAAAAATAGTGGACAGGTCAGGGAAGGTGACACTGAGGTGACAGAGCAGACTTCAAAAAGATGAGGCATAAATCTATAGACAGCCAAAGCAAGAGCTTTCTGGAGAAAGGGAACTACAGTGCAAAGGCCCTGAGGCAGGTGTACTGGTGAGCTGCTCTAACAGGAGGCTTAGACCACAGAGGGTGCAGGAATAGGAAAGGAATCCCAGACAGGTCACAGAGGGACTTGGTAAGGATCTTGGCTTCCACCGGACTGTTAGTCTCAGGGGAGGTTGTATGCAAACACTCTAGGGAAGGGTTATGTATGAGATGCCCTGCTGCCACCCCTGTAGACAAACAGACCAAGGGACCACACCACTCCCACCCCTGCAGGGACTGTCCTACTACATGGGTCCCCAAGGACCCCATTCTGTGGACCACCAAAGGGAGCAACCAAACCTTTCGAAAACAGCCCTCCAACTAGCACGTAACCCCACTATCTCTCACCCCATTGCACTTTGCCCATCAGGGGCTGACTCAGCCCTGCCCTCAGTGCAGAATTATGGGCTGGGAACAGATACGAATGGCTTAGATGCTGGCTGGGCCCCTCAGGTGCAGTGTGCATACACCCTCGCTGCCCGCAGAGGCAGACATTTGATCTTGACATGGAGCAAGGAGTACGCCAGCGGCCCTCCCGACACCATGTCACAAGCGCTGCCGACGTCAGGCACCAAAGTTCACCAGTTTCACTGCCTTGTAGCTGGGGCACAGAGGAACCGCATCCAGACACCGCTGTTTCTCATGCACATGCAGTGTCGGAGTCACCCATGACCAAGATAAAGGGAGCCACAGCCGCAGTCGCCTGGGTTCTGACACTCAGGCACCAGGTCTTGTGTGTGCCATTCTCAGTCACACGGGCAGTCAATCCCCTGCCCGGGTAGTTGTGTGCAGTCACACTCTCTGGGTCAACCCTGATGCCACTGTGGGTCAGGACTATGCCCGGGGTAGGCAGCGGGTATGTCACAGGATCCACGGATGCTCCCTCAGGGACAGCTGCGGCCGAGTTGAGGGTCCCCCCACATCAAGTGCAGGTGACAGAGCCACACGTATGGCTTCACGTATGTATTCACACGGCACGGCCCTGTCCCGTGGGATGGCAGGCGCGTGCCCTCATACAGGAAAGAGGTGCAGGTACACTCGTGTTCCACGCTTACTTCCCCAGCTGCACACCCAGGACCCCGAGGCTGCCACCCCAAATGCGGGGGCACACTTCACACAAGTAGAGTCGCCTACGCTGGGCGCCCAGCCTGTCCCTTAGTCACACCCGCGGCCGCCCAGGCGATCGCGCTAGGTGCGCACACGCCAGGCACACGTGCAGCGAGCGCACGGCCCCCGCTCGCCCACGCAGCACCGGCTCTCACACCCCCGTTTCCCGTCCCCGCTTGTTTTTCTGGAAACTCTGCTCTCCGTCCTCCCCCCCAGGCCGGAAGCACCGGCGGTATTTTTAGCTTCTCTGGTTTCCGCCCCTTTCCCTCCCCCACCCCACCCCGCCCGCGGGGGACCCGGCTGGTGCGCGCCCTGCTGGGGACCCCGGCCAGACTCTCCCCACCGTCATTCCAGAGGGGATTCCCGGCCCACTGGAGCCGCGGATTTTCCCGCTGGCAACGTGGAGGACGGGGAGGAGTCCCGCCGCGAACTTCCTCCGCGGGGTGCCTGAGGCGGGGGAGGGGCCGTGGTCTGGGGTAGGGAAGAGGGGCGGGGGTCCAAGCCCAGAGTCCGGGCAGGCTCCGGTGTCCCAGGGGGCCGGGCCGAGGCCATCCCCGAGTGCCACCCCTCCGGCTGCGGGGTGCCGGAGAGGGGCTCGTCCGCCCCTCGGGAGTGAGCCGGCCCCGGGCGTCCAGGCACTCACGTCCCGATGAGTCAGCAGATGGGAGAGGGGGGCGGGCCGGGCTGACTCAGGGGTGGGAAAGGCTGCGTCCCCAGGGAATCGAAACTGGACTCTCCTCCGGGAGCCTACCCAGCTCCCCGCTGCCCCCCTCTCCCGCTCAGTCCTAAGAAAGACTCGGGGTGTCCGGCGGGAGGCGGATCCCAGGGCCCCTCCCCGCTTTCCCTGCTGTCGTCGGGGCTTTGTTTACAGTAGACAGGAGCCCCGGGTTACAGGAGAGGAACCCGGGCGTCCGGGCTGAGTCTCCTCGTCACGGCTTCCAGGAAGCCCCCTTCCCCCGCCCCTTGCGAGTGAGTCACGGGCAAGCGGGAGGCCACAACCGTGCCAAGCCGCCGCGGCCCGCCCAGCTCACGGGACTGCCCAGGAAGGCCCCTTGGCCCAGAGAGCGCCACACCAGGGATTCCCCTCACTCCTGGTGCTGGAACAAGGCAGGTTGGCCTTTGAGCCTGGCAGGATCGCCCCACTTCAATACAAGCCCGCAGCGCAGCGTGCAAGAATGAACTTCCCATCATTGTAACCGCTTCGTGGCAATGGTTTCTAACTCATCCTTTCAGTGATGGCAGCCAGCCCACCAAAACCCTAAGAAAATCATTTTGCTATGTAGTTCATGCTGGCATTGAGCTCACAGTGATCCTCCAGCCTCAGCCTGCCCAATACTGGGATCACAGGCGTGCACCACCATGCCCAGCATTCTTGGCTTTTTGAGATAGGGTCTCGCTAAATATTCCAGGATGGCCTCAAACTCGAGTGATAGTCCTGTCTCAGCCTCTCAAATGTTGTGATTACAGAGAAATGCTGGAATTATAGGGATGCATTACCACACCCACCTTCTACCAAGATATTAAGAGCTTTTGCTCAAAGCACCTAAACGACCTGCCAATGTGGGGAATGACCCTCTAAAATTGAGCTTGGGCAAGGCACATTCCCATTGTAAGAAACCATCCAACAGATAAAGATGGACTAATTTTACCTCAAAATACTTTTTGATCCAGACAGTTCCCCAGAAGACCTCTACCTTTCAAATCTTGAAGGTTTTTTTTTTTTTTTTTTTTTTTTTTTTTGAGATTAAACCTCTTAAAATCCTGATATAGCTGGGGGTGGCACACAACTGTAATACTAGCTTTCAGGAGGCTGAGGCAGGAGGATCTCAAAATTCCAGGCCAGCTTACACTACACAGAGAAACTCTCTTAATCACTCCCTCCTCTAAAAAAGGCCATGGTATAATACTGCTGCCATTCACTCTCTGAAACTAGGAGAGTATCTGGGTAATTTGATATTGGGTATTGAGAACAGTGCCCACCCCAAAGAAATTAGAAGTGCACAGAGCTATGGTGGCCCACTTTGGGAAAGCCTTGCCAGATACTTAACCCCACATAAACCCCTAAAATGGGGACAGGGAGGACATCTTGACCAGGTCCAGGTGAGGTCTCCGAAGAGAATTCCCTTCTGGGCCTAGTGGTCTCCTCTAGCCTTCTGTTCTTGCGAATTTCCGTGTCTACAGGTGTTTGTCCACAAGTGTTTCCTCCACTGTAATCTTCTAGCTCCGTACCCCGGAAATTTGTCTCTCTCTTGGACTGTTACCTGTCTCCCCACCCCCTCCTCTTCTCACTTTGACCCTTCCTCTCTGTCTGTCTCTTGGCTATGTCTGTAGTTTTCTCTCTGCCTCTCGCCCATATCTAGAGTTCTTCCAGTTCATCTCTCCCGCCCTCATCCATTTCGCAGCGTGCCCTCTCAGCCTCTGCCCTAGTTAATTGCCCCTGCAACCTGCCCCCACCTCTGCCCCAGTTCCCTCAGCCACTCAACGTCTAACCTTGAAAACTGGGCAAATGCCCCTTATCCTACTCCATACCCGCCCAGCCGCATCCTCGCCGGGGGCGGGCGGAAGGGGACTGGCTGGAGAGTGGCCGGGCTCTGCCGCCGGCGCGTCCGGGAAGCGCCCTGGCCCCGCCCCTTGGCCCCGCCCCCGTGGGCCCTGCCCCGCCCCCCCGTGGCCTTATAAGAGGCAGACTCCCCGGACCGGCCGCAGCCGACTTTAGCGCTCCCACTTTCGGTCTACTGTTCTTGGCCAGTCGCGCCGCCATGGATCTCACTGCCATTTACGAGGTAGGTCTCCACCAACTATGCTTAGCTCCGAGATTCTTTAGCCTGAGACGCCCACCTTCCTCCTCAGGTCATATTTATTTTTCTCAGGGTGAAAATGGAGCCTGCAACTTCTGGGTCTCGGCCTGAACACGGGTGGGGCGGTCCCTGGAGAGGGGAAAGCTGGCGCACTTTGCTCAAAGTAGGGTTTTTGGGAGCCGGAAATGGCCCCACACCTGCCTCACCCCAAGTTGCTGAGGCCGCGGTTTTGCGCGGAGGCGTTTCTGGGGTTGAAGTCTGAGTTTGGGCAGGCGAGTTTTTGCCCCCACTCCCTGGCCCCAGTTCTGTGGGAAGTCGAAAACGGAGGCGATCCGAGCGCTCGGGTCAGTTGTGAAACTGTCCAACCTGGTTCCCAGTTGTGTCCGGGAAGGCCCGGAAGGTCAGAATTGGGAAAGAGTTGGGGCTCTGGCGTTAATCCGTGCAAGCTAGGATTTCAGGGTTCCTGTGGATTGACTTCAATTGTGGAAAACTGAGACTTTCATATCCGGATCCCTGGAGAACCCACAGGTTTCAGGGAGCGGGTGGGGCTCAGGTCTGGAGCCCACAAACCGGACTGGCAGGCTCCTGAAGTGCCCTGCAGCTGGGGTAGGGCGTTTCTGGTGTCCTTACCAAACCTTTTCCCACAGAGCCTGCTGTCGCTGAGTCCCGACTTGTCATCCGACCACGGAGGAACTGAGTCTTCGGGAATCTGGAGCCTGAACTCACCTGACTCTGGCTCTTCTGGGGTCACCTCCCGCCTGCCTGGCCGCTCCACCAGCCTGGTGGAGGGCCGAAGCTGTGGCTGGGTACCCCCACCCCCTGGTTTTGCGCCCCTGGTTCCCCGCCCTGGCCCTGAGCTGTCGCCCTCACCCACCTCACCAACTACGACCTCCACCACCTCTTCTCGATACAAGACTGAGCTCTGTCGAACCTTCTCGGAGAGTGGGCGCTGCCGCTACGGGGCGAAGTGCCAGTTTGCCCATGGCTTGGGTGAGCTGCGCCAAGCCAATCGCCACCCCAAGTACAAGACTGAACTCTGCCACAAGTTCTACCTCCAGGGCCGCTGCCCCTATGGCTCACGCTGTCACTTCATCCACAACCCCAGTGAGGACCTGGCTGTCCCTGGTCACTCTCCACACGTGCTACGCCAGAGCATCAGCTTCTCAGGCCTGCCCTCAGGCCGCCGCACCTCGCCACCACCACCGGGTCTGACGGGCCCTTCCCTGTCCTCTTGTTCCTTTTCGCCCTCCAGCTCCCCACCCCCACCTGACTTTCTACTTTCACCCTCTGCCTTCTCAGCTGCCCCTGGAACCCCTGTGGCCCGGAAAGAACCCACCCCAAACTGCTGCCCTTCTTGCCGAAGGGCCACCCCTGGGAACATCTGGGGTCTGGCTCGGAGCCCTTCTGCACATTCCCTTGGATCTGATCCTGATGAATATGCCAGCAGTGGCAGCAGCCTGGGGGGCTCTGACTCACCTGTCTTTGAAGCTGGGGTGTTTACACCCCAGCCCCCTTCAGCCCCACGGCGGCTCCCCATCTTCAACCGCATCTCTGTTTCAGAGTGACAGGTGACCCCAGTGCAGATCAGCTGGATCTCCAGAGGGAGGCACTTGTGGAGAACTGGGAGACTCCCAGTGTAATTAGGTAGCCCTACCTCCCCACATTCCAAAATGCATTAACCCACTTGCCTGATGTCACACCGGGGCAGGCCCCCAGTGTGCATGTCCAGTCAGTGTTCACGTTGGTGTTGGGGTGGAGTGTTTGCCAATATTTTAAGATGTAGCATGTTTGAGGGGCCAGTGAGCTCTCTCCCCTGTCCAATTCTGTCTCCTGGAATCTTATGTGCTGTGAATAGTAGACCCCATCCCACTTTTTCCTAGACCTGCATTTCCAGTGTCTGGTGATTGGAGCCTCCCCTGAGGGAGAATCCTGGTGCTCAAATTTCCCTCCACAAGCAAGTAGCCAAAGCCATTGCCAAGTCCCAACCCGCAAACAGTGGGCCCTTTATTTATGACGACTTTATTTATTCTAATAAGATTTTATAGTATTTATATTAGGTCGTCTGCTTCCCTTGTAATTTTTCTTCTTCTTTTTTGTAATATTAGAAACAATGGTATAATTATTGTAAGTTACTATAATATATTAATATATATTGTTACCTCGAAAATTATTTTTGTTTTTAAAATTTTTAAATAAACAATACGCATGTAAAAATGGCTTTCTGAGTTTTTCCAAGGCCTATGGGCAGTGAAAAAAGCGAAAAACTGACATTTTTAGAAGCCAGGGAGAGGCCCGACCGCCAAACCTTTACAGAGCTGAAGCTGTCTCCAGCTGAGCTTACCTGGCAGGAAGTGACGTCACCGGTCCGGCCCATTCACCTGAGAGGGCGGGGCCAGGTAGGGTCACCCGGTAGGAACCGGGAAAGCCAGTTCCCGGGGCGGTTCCTTCCGCGGCCCCGCGGCTCCTTGAGCCAGCTCGGGCGAGCGGGGACAGGATGTTTCCGTCTCCCCGAGGCCGAGGCCAAGGCTAGCAGGCGGGCTGGACGGCGTGGGGAGGACGGAATGTGCCGGAACGCGAGCCCAGTGCGGGCGGAGGCGGCCAGGCTGCAGGGATGAGGCGGGGTGTGTGTGTGAGCACCCTGAATCTTCCGACTTCCGAGTTAGGGGGACAGGCTTTCAGAAGAAGAGGAGCTTTTATTTTCCGGTACTGAGGACTGACCCCAGGGCCTTCGCACTGAGCGACGCTGCCAGCACATTTTTTTATACGCAGTCTCAGTCACTAAACTGCCACGGTTTGAATTTCAGGTTTTCCTGTTTCAGCCTCCCAGAGTTCTGGGATTGTGGGGTAGAAGTTTTTAAAGTTTCAAAGAGTCTAGAACCTGAGTTGTCTGAACTCGGGCTGTGCCCGTGGTGACTTCGAATCTGGACGCTCGCGGTGTCACCCTGAGCCCCGCAGCCGGTCGGGATCAGGGAGCTGCAATGACGGGAGCCGGGCTTTTCCCGGGCCGGGGAGTTTGGGACCCCGCACGTACGTAGGTCGGGCCGCGCCTCGGGGCGGGGCAGCGCCGAGCGCTCGGACCATAGAAGGCAAGCGGAGCGGGGCCGCGGGCAGAGGGGCCGGCCGGAAGCCGCCCGCGTCAGCCTCGCGCCCCGCCCCGCCCTCGACCCTCGCGTCCCTCCTCCTCCCACTTCCCCTCCCGCCTCCGTGTCTCCTCCTCCCGCCCTCACTTCCTTCTTCACCCTGTCCCTCGCTCCCCGCCTTTCCCTTCCCCATTACGCCGCACCCGCTTCTCTGCCAGCCTCCCCACCCTCGTGTCCTTTATCCCCTCCCCTCCCCTTCTCCTTTTCTCTTTACCTTCCCTGCCAACCCATCCCCCTCCTCCGATGGGTCGCCCCGAGCTGCAGCCCCCTGTGAGCCTCCTGCCCCTTCTCCCCTCTTCTCTCCCCTCTCCTCTGGCCTTCCTGATTCCTCTTCGTGGCCCACTCTGACCTTCGGCCTCCTCTTCCCGGAAGCTGCCTTTCTTTGGGAAAAGGCTCAGGTCCCGGTACACAGAAGAGCGTTAGGAGAAAAAGAGGGAACCAAACCTAGAGACTCAAAGGCAGAGAGCAAGCAGTGCCCAGACATCTACAGAAACAGATCGGGACTCTGAAATAAACAGAAGTAGACATTGCCAGGGGTTTCTTTAGCGAGAACAGATTCTCTTGACCCAAGAATAAAACATCAACAAAAACACTGGCTGGAGGTGTAGCTCCGTGGGAAAGCACAGTTTAGTGTGTGCAAAATGCTAGGTTCCATCCCCAGCATCAAAACAAAACAAAAACCACCTTATCTAAGAAAATGACACCTGCCACCAGCTGCTAGGGTTCAGGGCTGACATGTAAGACCTGGGAGGCCTTTTTTTCCTCCCTCAAGCCCACAGCCCAGCACAAGAGCTGTCCTGTCTGATCACCTTTAAAACAGAGCTACACACATGTATTTCTACGACCCACTTTCCAACTGCGCCATGACCCCCCACTGAGGACCCACGCATGTCATTTCCCAACTGACCCTTCAAGGCAGCCTCTCCCTAGTTTCTACAAGGGCTCCTTTTCTCACTTTTTTCCCACTTTTCCCGCTCCCCAAAAGGCTACCAAGGGAAGTCTGGTTAGGACACCAGAGTCTGATCACAGATCAAAGTCGTACGGGTAAGTCCCGGCCACACAGCCTGGCTCCCGTGTCCTCCTCTTCCCATGCTCACTCTGCTCAAGTCACACTGGCTTTGTAGGTCCTGCACCAATATATCTGGCTTGCTTCAGCGACAGAGCCTTTTCACTGGCTTTCCCTCTGCCTGAAACAGTCCTCTGATGTCCCTATGGTTCGTTCCCTCCTTTAGGTCTCTGTTCAAATGAGATTGTCAGGGCTGGGATGTAGCTCAGCACTATAAACTCCTTCCTGGCATGTGCAAAGTCCTGAGTTCAATTCCCTGTCAAACAAAACACCAAAACCAAATGAGGTTGTTCTTGAGTATTACACTGAAACCTGGACCACCCCTCTTCAATTCTTCAACTTCTTTACTTTGTTCTGTTTTCTCCATGATGTTGGCACCCAACATACAAATGTAATTAATCTTTTCTTTTTTTTTTGAGAAGAGGGCTTGCTTTGTAGCCTAGGGTGCCCTTCAATTCACAGGGATCCTCCTTCCTCAGCCTCATCCTCCTCCCTCAGCCTCACAAGTGTGTGCCACCGTGCCTGGTCATACTTAATTCTTTTTTTTTTTTTTTTGTCTTTTTTTTTCATTTTTAGCGGTACCGGGGATCGAACTCACGACTGCCTGCTTGCAAGGCAGGTGTTTATGCCGCTGAGCTAAATCCCCAGCCCCAATTCTTTTAAAATTTATTTTAGTATTACAAGTGCATGTTTGCAGTACATGATTACATTCATGGGAAGTTGGTACATATGCATAATACACCTTAATTCTTTTTACTTCCCCTCTACTCCTATGCTCTCCCTCTAATTCTTTTGGTGGAGAACCTGTAGCCTGTCACATTACTGCGGAAGTCTTAAACTGAGATTTGGAAACTCAATTCGAAACTCAGACTATCTAATGAGAGATAATACTGCCCTCTGGTGTATAGAACTGGAATGGTACTTTTCCACAAAACACAACACTCAATAGCGTTCGCCATAGACGTTTGAGTCCAAAAATCCAGATGAAAATGTTAATACTTCTGAAGTAATGTAGGTACTTTGGTTTGCTTCTAACCTGTACAAATTTATAAGTATAGCTTCAAAAAGTAGATATACACCAAATTAAAGTGAAAAGTAGTGCTCCAGGTGAGGATCGAACTCACAACCTCGGCATCGCTTCGCCTGCACTATTATATAAGTACCGCGCGCTAACCGATTGCGCCACTGGAGCTCTAACCGCACCTTCTCACCATTGAGTCCTTCAGTTATTCATAACCACGTGACCGCTCAACAGCTTTAGTCTGGATTGGATATGCAAATAGACTCTTTCGGCTGACCAATAGGAGAAAGAAAATGACTAATTCCGGATTCTCACGCTTCACAGGCCAGCCCTGTAAAAGGGAAGAGTCTTGGAGCTGCTTGGAATGTGGGGCCGTGGCCTGCCTGGGGGACTCTCCTCCTCATGAATATTCAGAAGTCAGGGAGGCGGGGTGTTAACCCTTCGATGCCCGGTAGGCCGGAAGGTGGCCCCTCCCCCCGCGGGCGGGAACAGGATATGAGCCCCAACGTCAGGGGGGATGGGAAAGCACAGCGTCTCCCCACGCCCCCCTCCCGCCTCAAAGCTGAGACCCGACTGTCCCATCCTCTGCTGCCACCAAAGCCGGTGCCATCCACCACGGAACCTGAGGGATCGCTTGGAACCAGACGTCTGGGATTTCTGTACGGCGGCGTCTTGAGAGAGACCTCGAAATCCAGACCTCCGCGTCCGGGCTAAGGGACCCTCAGATGCCCAGCGCCCCCCCCTGGAAAAGGCCGGAGTCCGGCACGTCAGCCCACATAAGACTCTGGAGGCCTAGGGTCACGCACCCCAGTCTGAAGAACTCGGGATCCAGAACTATAATTTTCTCAGGCGGTTCCCAGAAATCCGAGTGCAAGAGACCCTCGAGTTGGAAGAACTTAGGGTTCGGACTTCTAGCGCCCCAACAAGTCTCTCTGGGGCTGCAGCGTTCCCTCCTTCAAGGGCACCCAGAAGTTTGGGACCCCGTGCGCTCCCACCTGGAGGTGATTTGATCCCTGAGCCTCGAGTTAGGGGAACTCCGGAACCTGCCCCCTAACGGCCCAACCTAGAGACTCAGGAATTTGAGTTCCCAGCGCCCCCATCTGAGTCTGGAGAGTCGAGGCTCCCAGCATCCCCTATTTAGAATACCAAGAAAGTCGGACTACTGGACCCCATGCCCGGGGATCCGGGATTCTGGCTCCTGAAGCCTGAGAGCCCAAAGTTCACGCCCCAGTGTCCCGGTTCCGCACCTCCGTCCCTGGGGAGCGCAACCTCGCAGACCAGGAACCCCGCTTTGCACCGGGTGCGGGCGGCTCCCGGGGAGGCAAGGGGCCGTGCAAGGGGAGGGGGCGGCGCTGCGCGGCGGAACAATGAGGGGGCGTGCCGGCGGGCGAGCGCGGCGCCGGCGGGATCCCGGACCCGGGCTGGTGAGAGGGCGCGAGGGAGGCCTGGGTGGCGGGACGGCGGCCGGGTCTCGGAGGGACCCTTGCAAGGGGGTGGAGGCTCGGGGCCAGTGCCCCAGCGTAGCCTCGGCGGGGGAGGGAGCCGTCTGCAGGACCCTGGCATCCGGTCTCCCAGCCTCCGCCCTCCCCTGGGACCCAGCGGCCTCCCGCCCACAGCTTTTCCCAGCCCTGCCCCTCGCCCTCCGCTCCAGCCAGAGCACAGACGTTCCCAGGATCCGTGAGCCTGGGGCCCGAGGCACAGGACTCTGGCTTCTGCCACTCTTGCTCTCTTGGCTCCTCTTTGTCTCAACCTTTCCATCTTCTTTTCTAGATTCTTTACTTGTTCCCCTCTCTCTGTCACTTTGCCTGTAATCTCCCTCCATATTAGTGGCTCCGGGGGTCCCTCCTAGATGTAGACTGGTCCCCTAATTCCCAGCACCCCATTTGTGAATTTGGGCCGTGAGAAGGCCTGTGGGTCCTCTACCCAAGAAGGGGACTTTCTGCAGGTGGTCGCTGTGTCACTCAGCCATGCCTGAGGGAGCTCGAGGACTGAACTTGTCCAAACCCAGCCTCGGGTGTGGCCACAGAGGCGAAGCCTGTGACTGCCCAGCTGTGTGTGAGACTCGGACAGGTGAGCGACCAAGGTGGGGATGGAACCTGTGGGCATTTGATGTTTTCTTCAAGCCACTGGGCAGCCCTCCGGGGCTGTGCAATGCTGACAACTGCAGGGTGACAGCCCCCTGCCTCTCCTGCACCAAGCCTCAGGCTGGTCCAATCCCAGTCAGTGACAGTCCAGAGGGCCAGGTTTGGGGTGCAGTGCTCAGGGCTGTGAGAGGAAATACCCTTGATAGGTCAAGCTTTAAGGAGTTGAGCAAAAACAAGAGTGTTCTACACTCACCTAACAGTGTGTGCAAAGGCCCAGAACCACTGCTTTAGATAACTAAGAGATGTTGAGTGTGACTGGAGTGTAGGGGGTAAGATGAGATGACAAGAAGGCAGCTGGCTGCAGAGCTAGGCCATGGTGGCAGTGCACTGATTTGAGGAGTTGGGATGTGATCCTGATGGGGTTGTAGTCCTGGGGAAGACAGTCAGATTAATAAAGCTGTCCCTACTGATGTATGGAGGTGAATTAGAGGTCTGAAGCCCAGAGAGAACCTTGCTGGGAGAGGGCAGGACTGAACCAAGGCAGTGCTGTAAGAAGGACAAGAGGGAGCCTGTGGGAAGGCGGATGGCCAGGTGTGGGAGTGTGGAGGCCATGGGGACGGAACTTATCTCCTGCTTCACCTTCCGCAGCCCCTGCCATGGCCTCTCCAAGAGGTTCTGGGAGCTCCACATCCCTGAGCACAGTAGGCTCTGAAGGGGACCCAGCCCCAGGGCCCACCCCAGCCTGCTCAGCCTCCAGGCCAGAGCCCCCACCAGAGCCCCCTATCCGCTTGCATCTGTCACCTGTGGAGATCCCGGGTTCAGCAAAACCCTCAAGGCTGGAACGTGTGGCCCGAGAGATTGTGGAGACAGAGCGGGCTTACGTCCGGGACCTCCGCAGCATCGTTGAGGTGAGGCAGGTCGGTGATCCAGGGCAGCAGGGGCGGGCCAGGCCCTTGGCCCTGGTGACCCCAGTCATCCCTGCAGGACTACCTGGGCCCTCTGCTGGATGGCGGTGTCCTGGGGCTGAGCATGGAGCAGGTGGGCACATTGTTTGCCAACATTGAGGACATCTACGAGTTCAGCAGGTTAGGGGCAGGTGGGACAAGAAGGGGTGCTGGTCCCTCGGGGGGCTGTGTCCAAACCTAAACCTTGGAACCCCACGGACATAGTGGTGCACACCCTGTGATCCCAGCACTGTGGGAAGTGAGGAGGGAGGATCAGAAGTTTGAGCCCAGCCTGGGCAACCTAGCAAGACCCTTTTCCAAAATAAAAAATTTAAAAAGGCCTAAGGATGTAGCTCAGAGTGAAGGCTCTGGGTTCAGGCTTAGTACCCCCCCCCAAAAAAAAAAGAAAAAAAAAAAAAAAAAGCAGCGGCCTTGAAACCCTTTAGCTCCCTCTTCAGGCTAGTCCATGAGGCATAGTGCCCTCATGCAGGGATTATGGTGCAGAGTGAGGGTTTAGTAGGGTGACAAGTGTCTAACCATGCAGGTGAGGTTCACAGTTTGGGGCAGGGCCTGGCATCAGGATGCCATCTCAGTACCCGGTCAGATCTGGGCTCATGATGCAGCTGAGAGTCATACAGTATTCGCAGGTTGTGACCATGTGAACATTTGTGTGACCACCTTGTCCTGTTTTGCCTAGGACATTCCCAACGTTAGCACTCCACATCTGTCATCCAGGGACAGTTTGGACTTGGACAAAGCAGGATGGTTGGTCTGTCATGTGAAGGCTGTCAGGGCTCGTGATGCTCCAAGTCCCTTGAGGAGGTCACAGGATTTTAAGATCATTCCTGGGGCCATGGTGAGAGAGGAGCACAGGCCCCCTCACCCTGGCTAACGCCAGCTGTGACAGGCTTTCAGGCTGAGGGATCATGAAGCTATTCAAGGACACAGTCTGAGGTTTTCGGTCTCTCATGTAGCCATCAGAGACCTTTGCTAGAAACAGGACCGCCCTTTGGGGAGCTTAGTGCTCACTGAGCCCCCCAGCCCCTGCAGGCTGTTGCGACATCTCCTGGAGGCCTCCCTGGGGGAACGTGGAGGCAGGGCAGGTGCTCATACTCTGTCCCCTGCAGCGAGCTCTTGGAGGACCTGGAGAACTGCAGCAGCGCCGGGGGCATTGCTGAGTGCTTCGTGCAGAGGGTGAGTGAGTGGAGGTGGGCTGGGCCAGGAGAGGCATGACCAGGGGACAGCAGCCTGTGCAAGGCTGGAACGGGTAGGGGAGCTGGGACCTGGGATCTCCCTGACTGCCATGTCCCCCACAGAGCGAGGATTTTGACATCTACACTTTATACTGCATGAACTATCCCAGGTGAGGGGCAGGGTGCCCCTGGGCCCCAGGCCGAGCCCTGAGCTGGTGTCCCACCCCTCTCTCCTCTGCCCTGCCACCCCCTCAACATCATCCATGCCAGACCAGGATGCTAACTGACCTCTCCCTCACTCACCCCAACCCTTCCCGGACCCCAACTGCCCCCAAGCCCTGGCCACTTATGAACCCCTCCCAGCCCTATCCACTAGAGCTGCCAGCCCCCCCTGACCCATGCTATGCCCCTAGCTCCCTGGCCCTGCTGCGGGAGCTGTCACTGTCCCCGCCAGCAGCCCTTTGGCTGCAGGAGCGCCAGGCCCAGCTTCGTCACTCACTACCCCTGCAGAGCTTCCTACTGAAACCTGTTCAGCGCATCCTCAAGTACCATCTGCTACTGCAGGTCAGCTTTGGCCCCTGGGGACCTGGCTGGGCATGGGATGGGTGGGGTCCCTCACCTTATTTACCTGCTGTTGCTTCAAGAGGGGGCCCAAGAGTCCTGCAAGGTCTGAAACTCTTCTGCCTTTCTTTGCTAAAGTGCTGCCCAGGGGAGCCATCTGGGCCCTAGAAACTGGGCCAGTGGTGGTATCGTGTATTCCTGGCAAAAGAGAAGACTGTCACCTGGGATCCCACAGAGTCTGCCTCTCCCTGCACATTTCTCTGTCTCCTGTCCCTCTCATTCACCCTCTCTCTTTCTCTGTCTTCCTCTCTGCCCTCTATGCTTGGTGCCATTGGCAGGAACTAGGCAAACACTGGGCAGAAGGCCCAGATGCTGGAGGCCGTGAGATGGTGGAGGAAGCCATTGTGTCCATGACAGCAGTTGCCTGGTACATCAATGACATGAAGCGGAAGCAGGAGCACGCAGCACGCCTCCAGGTGGCCCAGGGTGGAGTGGAAGGCCAGGCCGGCTGCGAGGGACAACGAGGATGGGACAGTGCTTCAAAGCCTGGGGGGCTGGCTCAGTCAGCTTGTCCCCGTTGCCAACCCCCTATCTTGTCCTGTTTGTTTATGCCCCCCCCATGCCTGTCTTGTGCCTGGTGGGGTCCCTGCAGGAGGTGCAAAGGCGGCTAGGAGGTTGGACTGGCCCAGAGCTCAGTGCTTTTGGAGAGCTGGTGCTGGAAGGCGCTTTCCGAGGTGGCGGAGGGGGTGGCCCCCGGCTTCGAGGGGGTGAGCGGCTGCTCTTCCTGTTCTCACGGATGCTGCTTGTGGCCAAGCGCCGGGGGCCGGAATACATGTACAAGGGCCATATCTTCGTAAGTTTGGTGATGAGGTGGGCCTGCACTGTTACAAGGTGCATTCTGTGTACCTACACTTATGTGCCTAAAGGGATGAACCAGTGACAGCCTGGCTTGAAAGAGTCACATTTTCTTGAGTTCAAGAATAGGGGTAAGGCTGGGCATAGTGACACACACCTATAATCCTAACATTCAAGAGGCTGAGGCAGAAAGATTGCTGTGAGATCAAGGCCAGCTTGGAAAACATAGTGAGATGCTGTCTTTGAAAAATGAAAGGGGGTTCCAGTTCCAATACCTTGTTTAAAAAAAAAAATGCAAGGGAAAAAATTAGAGGTGAGGCCAGGTGTGATAATCCTGGCAGCCTGGGAGAGAGAGGTGGAAAGGTGAGGAACTGTGTCCAGTCTGGGGAATTTAGTGAGACCGTTTCAAAAACAGGGGCCAGGACTCTAGGGGTGCACATCAGTGGTTGCCTAGCACCTGTGAGGCTTTGGGCTCAGTCCCTAGCACTGCAAAGAAAAAAATTAGGGGGCCAGGTGGGGCTGAGGCCTGCAGGAAAGAGCTCGATGTCCCCACAAGGCAGTGTCTTCCTAGGGAGCAGTGCGCCCCTCTTTGTGGTGGGAGTGGGGTCTGGTAGGGAGCAGTCTCACTCACATGGGTGCTTTGAGTGGGTGGGGACCCAGGTATACCTCACGGCCAAGCCTGAGCCTGGTGCCCCCCTTGCCCCCAGTGCTGCAACCTGAATGTGAGCGAGAGTCCCCGAGACCCTCTAGCGTTCAAGGTATCCGACCTGACCATTCCCAAGCACAGGCACCTGCTTCAGGTGAGCACAGGTGGGGCTGGCCCAGCAGACACCCCCACCTTGGACCTATGCCTGGCTCACTGGCTCCACTACCCTACTCACCCCCAGGCCAAGAACCAAGAAGAAAAGAGGCTGTGGATTCACTGTCTGCAGCGTCTCTTCTTTGAGAACCACCCTGCCTCCATCCCAGCTAAGGTAGGGCTCCTACAACAACAAAAAGGCCCTGTAAGTACACTTCTGTAACATGATTGCTAAAGGTACAGCACTGCTTTCTGAATTAAAACCCCACCTCTGCCAGTCTTTCTGCTCTGTGACCTTGGGCAAGTAACTTAACCTTCTCTGGGCCAGTTTTTACCTCAAGGAATGATCATGGCTGCCTCTTAGGGCTGTGGTGAGGTTAGCAGTTAAGGTGAGCCCCGAATGGCTGGGGTGCTTGGGGCCTACCCCCTCCGACACTCATCCTTTTCTGTTTCAGGCAAAACAAGTCCTTCTTGAAAACAGCCTGCACTGTGAGTTGGGTCTTGGGTTGGGAGGATGCTCAGAAGAATTACTTCCTGGCGAAAAGTAGGCTGTAGGCCCCAAAACTCTCCCCACAGGTGCTCCAAAAAGTAAGCCTATCTCAGAACCCCCGACACCCCCACTTGGGTCTCCTAGACCTCAAGATACTAAAAGTTTCATCCCTGGCCAGAGGAACACAGGTAAATGAGATGGGGTGCTGAGTGTGGGCCCCTTCCCCCCAATACCTGGGCTCCTGACCTCTTTGTCCCCCGCCTCTCCCACAGCACCGTCTCCAGGGCCCCCCAGCAGCCGCCGTGGTCGAAGGCAGTCGGGTGAGTTTACTGCCCAAGGGGAGCCAGGGACTCAGGCAGATATGGGCACTAATGTACCTCTGTCCTCCCCAGAGCCAGTGAAGGACTCTTTCGTTGGGTTTCCACAGAACGGTCAGTGACTGGCTCCCGTTGATCTGTTTGTCTGTCCTTCCCTGGATGGGGGCATCCCCAGGGTGGATGGGGAAGAGGGGATGAGGCAGCTCACAAGTTATAAAGAATCACTTGTCCTCCTGCATCTCAGTGACTTTTCTCTCCTTGTCTGTCCCCAGCTAAACCTATATTCAAGGTAAGAAATGGCCTGAGTAGGATCTGAGAACCTGGACTCTTGGGGTCTGATGAGAAGGAAGCTCAAATTTCAATACCCTGAGGCTGAATAAGAGGAATGGGTTGGGCATGATGACCCACTCCTGTACTCGACAGAACATTGCCATGAGTTTGAGGTCAGCCCAAAGTGCATAGCAAGACCCTGTCTCAAGCAGGAAGGAAGGCTCAGCACTTGGGAGGCTTAAGCAAGAGGATCTTTGTAAGTTCAAGAACAGCCTGGGCTACAAAGTGAGCTGAAGGCCAGCTTGAACTGCATAGAGAGACCCTGTCTCAAAAAGCACCCCCCCCAAAAAAAAAAAGAAAGAAAGGATGAATTGGGCCACGTGCGATGGTACGTGCCTGTAGTTTCAGTTGCTTAGGAGGCTGAGGCAGGAAGAGCTCAATTTTAAGCCTCACGTAGGCAACTGACTTTGTGAGATCCTGTTTCAGAAAGCAAAATTGAGCTAGGGATATAGCTCAGTGTGAAGGCTCTGGGTCCCATCCTCAGTAATGAAAAAAAAAAAAAAAAAATAGCTAGAAAGACAGGTAACTTAGTGGGGTAAAGCACTTGCTTAGCTTGTGTGAGACCACGTTTAGTGCCCAGTACTGGAAAAAACAAGTTAAGGGGGTAGAGTTTGAGGCTCACATTCCTCATTGGGTAAGGAAAGGGATGGGGCCCTCCTGCTTCTCGCTTTCATTCCCTCTCCTCCACACAGCATGCTGGCAGTGAAGGGGAGCTCTATGCCCCCTCAGAATCACAGCCACTAGTGTCAGTTTCTGCACCCCCTGAAGACCTAGAGGATGCCGGGCCCCCCACACTGGACCCCTCTGGAACCTCAATCACTGAAGAAATCCTGGAACTGCTGAATCAGAGGGGCCTCCGGGATCTGGGGGTGAGTTGGGTGTCCTGTCACAGCATTTTCAGGGCTCAAGAAGGTACCAGCAGTCAGACAGCAGGGAACAGGTTCACCAACCCACCCTTATCTTCGGCTTCTTTCTGTGCCCACTACAGCCAACCGCTAACGACATTCCCCAGTTCCCTGGAGACTCCCAGGTGCCAGCCGACAGTGAACCTCTCACATTCCAAGCCCTGCCCAGCCGAGACTCTTCAGAAGAGGAAGAGGAAGAGCTGGAGACAGATGAGCGGGAACCTTCCCCGCTCCACGTCTTAGAGGGGCTCGAGAGTTCCAGTGCCACTGAAATTCCCGACATTCCTGGGCTTGCCAAGATTCCTGATGTACCCAGCCCCCTTGAAATTCCCAAAGTTCCCCACCATCCCAGTTTCTCTGACATTCCCAGTGTTTTTGAAATGCCCTGCCTTCCAGCCATGTCTGATGTCCCCAACAGCCCCAGTCTTTCGAATTCTCCCACCCTCCCCTGTGATTCCTGGTTCCCCAGACCTCTGCAAGAGCCAGCTGAGGCACTGACCACCAGGAGAGAACTGTTCCCAGGAGACAGTGCTGGGAAACTGGGAGAGCCCACCTCAGGAAGCAGAATTGAGCAGGCTGAGGAGGGAAAAGGGGTCATGTTCCCAGATTTCCAGCCCCAGGATATTGCCCAAGCTCAGGGATTTCCAGGTGAGCTGGAATTCCGCTCTTGCTCAGAAATCCGGAGTGCCTGGCAGGCGCTGGAGCAGGGGCAGCTGGCCCGGCCAGGCTTCCCAGAGCCACTGCTGATCCTGGAAGACTCGGATCTGGCTGGAAGCAGTGGGAGTGGGAAGGCAGGAGCCCCGCATTCAGAGCGGGCAGCATCCCGTGTGCGAGAACTGGCCCGGCTGTACAGTGAGCGGATCCAGCAGATGCAGCGTGCTGAAACTCGGGCATCAGCCAATGCCCCCCGCCGCAGGCCACGGGTCCTGGCCCAGCCCCAGCCGAGCCCCTGTCCGCCCCAAGAACAGGCTGAGCCTGGTGAGCTCTGGGTACATGGTTGGCAGAGGTGGCCCAGGTTGGGGCATTGGCACTCACTGTGTCCTCTCTGCTCACAGGATCCCTTCCTGCCTTTGGACACGTGCTGGTGTGTGAGTTGGCCTTTCCGTTGACCTGTGCCCAGCAGTCTGTTGCCCTGGGCCCTGTTGCCCGGATTCAAGCTGCCATACCCTTGACTAAGGAGAGAGGCTACCTGGATGGCCAGAGTCTAAACATTTCAGATTTGCCTGAGCAGAGCCAACTGGACATCCACATTCTGGCCCCTCCTGCCTTGCCTGAGCAAGGAGCACTCCAGAATGCCCCAGCCCCAGCCACATCACCCAAGCAAGGAGGCCCTCCAGATGTGCATCGCCCATCTGTTTCAGCTTTGCCTGATCAAAGCCACCTGGAGATCCAAGTTCAAGCTGCCACTCCTCTGCCTGAGCATAAAAGTGACGTGGATACACAGGTTTCATCTACCAGCTGCTCTTCTGACCAAGGATGCCATGTGGACATCCAGATTCCAACCACTCCAGCCATCCCCAAGCAGAGAAGTTGTTCTGAGATCATAGTTTTAGCCACCACCCCTTTCTCCAAGCAGGAAGGCCACCCGGACAGCCAGAGCCCAACCAACATCACAGGGGCTGAGGAAGGAGGTTCTAGGGACGATCTCTGCCCTGCTACTGACCATGGCCAACCCATCAACCCTTTGTTGAGGCGTGGAAGCAGCCTGGACTGTCAGATCCCATCCAGCACCCCTCTGCCCTTGTCACTTGACCTCCCAGACATTCCCATCCCAGGTGCCTCAGCTCCGCCTGAAGGGGGCGGGTACCTGGAATGGCAGATTCCACGGAGCTCTCCTCTGTCTTTGTCTCAAGACCTCCTGGATGTTCAGGTTCCAGCTGCCACCCCTTTGTCCCAGCCCCAAGGCCTCACAGACATCCAAGCCCAAGCTCTGCCCTCTTTGCCCAAGCAGGGCCACCCCCCAGCCACACCGTTGCCTCAGGAGCAAGGCCTTGGAGACACTCAGGCCCCGAAACTCACACCTGTATTGAGGCAGCAAGAATTCCCAAAAGTCTGTGTTCCAGCTGCCACTTTACCTGAGCAAGGCAGGCCTTGGGACATTCAAAGCCTGGTGCCCACCCCGGTTCAGACCACTGGGGTGTTACCTAAACCAGGAAGCTCCTTGGTCCCTCTGATTGCCAGGTCTGAGTCTACAGACTTGACCCCACCTCACAGCCCCCCACCCCCCACCCATCAGCTCCTGGGTCCCAGTGCAGCTGCCCTCTCAAGATACCTGGCAGCCTCATACATCAGCCAGAGCCTGGCTCGCAGGCAGGGACCTGGGGGAGAGGGCCCCCCAGCCTCCCGGGGTCCGTGGTCCTCTGCTCCCACGTCTCGGGCACCTTCACCCCCAGCCCAGCCCCAGCCCCCACCACCTCCAGCCAGGCGGCTCAGCTATGCCACCTCAGTCAGCATCCAAGTGGGAGGTGGGGGGCGGCTGCGGCCCGCCAAGGCCCAGGTCAGGTTGAACCACCCTGCTCTCTTAGCCTCCCCACCAGGAGCCTGTGAGCCTTCACAGGACCCAGGGAGCTCCTGATGCCCTTTCGGCACGTAACCTAGGACATCAGGCTTCCCAAAAAGCAATGACTTCAACCAGTGCCACATGCTCCCAGAATTTCACCCAGAAATCCTGACGTGGGTCTAGAGGTGGGTGCAGCTTTCCAGCCCCTCAGACCTGTTTTCAAACTTAGCCCTCCTTGCTTTGATCCAATAGGGATGGGGAAGGGGCATCATTAGTATTTTGTTACTATGGAATTCTGTGTGTTCCTCTCCTGGATGTGTATGGGGGAGTGTTGACAAGATGTAATGACTGTGAAGAGCTGATACAGTATGCTGACTGATTTTGAAAATTTGGGAGCTCTCAAAAGTCTGAGAATTACTTGCAATGGACCTAGTCATTTCAAGGTGTATAATTTCAAGGCATTCACAAACTGCTCACTGGGAAATCCAGGTTAAATTGTTCTCCAGATGTGGCTCAGTGGGAGGCTAGTTGCCAACAAGTGCTCGGTGCTGGGTTCATACCCAGTGCTAAACAAACAAAAGACTATAATCCCAGCACGCAGGAAGCTGACAGAGGAGGGTCCCTGTGAGTTCAAGGCCAACCTGGACTACATAGTTAAGACCCAATCTCAAAAAATGAAAAGTGGGTACAAGGTGGGGTACACCAGGTGGACACCTTGAAGTTCATTTTCTTAGCAAGTCACCGAGCGTCCAGCTCTTCATCTGTCTTCCCCTCTGGTGTGGAACTCTCCATCTTCCAAACTACTATTTTAACCTATGTGCTGTGCTTAGCTAACTATCTCCACTACTTTATTCTTCTTCCATCTTTGTCCCATCTGTTCCTCCATCAGCCCCCTCATCCATCATTCTACCTGTCCATCTCTGCCCCGCACCATCCCTTTCTCTCCACATTTCCATCTCTCATGTACCTCATTCATCTGCTTCCAAATCCATGGCCCATCTGTCCCTCTTTTGGTTTCTGGATCTTGGTGCTACAGAACTTTGGAGATAGTTCTATGGTGACACCCAGGTGGATCAGACGTGGGGCTTTGGTTTCCCTTGGCAGTCCCCCCATCCACCCATACTCATGAATATCCCAATTCTTGTTCCCACCCACACATCACATCCTTGGGCCCCTCCTTTAGAGCCACAATTCCTCCTCACCATGCTCCCTCCCACAAAATAATTCAGATTATAGACAAAAGGCTTTTATGGTAGGACCCGCCTGTCCCCTCGTTCCTGCAGTGGTGGGCTGTAAGGAGCATAATTTAAGCAGTTTAATGGTGATAACTGCTTCTGTCAAACATCTTGTGCTTTAGGGCACTAATCTTCCCTATAGTTTGCTATCATGGTGAATTTAAGTTTCATCTTTTCTCCTTGGTGTGTGACTTCCTCTCTGAGCCTGTTTTCTTGTGTATGACAGTTCCTGTCTCCTGGGAGTGACCCCAGCATTCAGTGAGCATACTCTCACTTGCTAGATGTACTTGGGGCCTCTAGCTTAGCAGGGAATCCATTCAGATCACAGGGTCCCTTGTACCAGGGCCCTATGGAATCAGAACCTCCAGGGCCAAGCCTGGCAATCTGAATGTTAGCAACTGGGTAATGACAAAAAGCTGAGTGAGAACTAGCTGCATACCATGAGCATTCCAGTCAGTTTTCTGTGAACTTATTCAATTTGGGTCTTCACAATATCCCTAAAAGGCAAGTGAGGGCGTTTTTGTTGTTTTTGGTTGGTGCTGGAATCAAACCCACAGCCCCATGTATGCTAGACAAGGGTTCTCACTGAGCTGTACCCCCAGCTCCCTTGAGGATGGCTTTAATAGCACCAGGCAGGAGGCATGGAGAAAGGGACCTGCCCAGTCCCACAACCAGGAGAGGACAGAACTGGACAAAGCCCTGCAACCTTGCTCAGGTTGGTGCTCTTAACCATGTTGAGTGCCTGTCCAGTACCAAGGTGGTATTCCCACCAGAGGCTCAAGGGAAGCTTGTAGCCTGTTCCCTGGGGCCCACAAGATTCTGAGGCTGCGTTAGACAGCCAGCACAGGCCTGGCTCAATAAATGTTAGCTGGTGGTTTCTATTTCTGGCTTATTGAATGACTGCTGTGTGCCAGGGCCTGGGCTAAATCTTGGGGGCCACAGTAGCTCACGTGGCCTCCTCAGCCTACAGTGATCAAAGACTCCATGGTGGCCTTCCAGGGTCAGGACCGAGGCTGGCCCTCCCCTCCTCCATCCCAGCCACACATTCCCAGCCACCCCCAGCTGTACATTCCCAGCTGAAGAAAAGTTCCCAGCCTGGCTTGGGCTCCCAGTGGCGCCGGAATTCCTGGTATTCAGGGAGGAAGGGGCTATCTACTCCAAGCCAGGAGTGGCTAAGGAGAGGCGCGCCCCCTCTCCAGATGTGTTCCAGCTGTGCTTCTGGGAAGGAGCTGGGAGCCTCAATAAAGTCTCTGAACCTCGTAGGAAAACCTCGGGCTCCAGGACTGCCTGTCTCAGTCTTTCCTCCGGGTATCTGTGGATTCCATCCCTCCCTCCTGCCCAAGTCCTGCCTCTGCTTTGTGGCCCTCGTTCCCACTCCCTCAGGCATGCCCTTCTTGCTGGTCAAACATCTGCCTGCTGGAGCAGCTTTTTGAGAGCAACACCAAGTTTGAGAGTGAGGCTAGTTGCAGTGGTATGTGCCTGTAGTTCCAGAATTCAGGAAGCTGAGGTAGGAAGGTCACTTGAGCCCAGGAATTAGAGAAAAGCCGAGTAACCCAGGCAACATGGTGAAATCTCATCCCCCAAAAAAGGGTAGTGCCCCCTGCACTCCACATCTACTTAATGCAAAGTAACTCCAAGTCCTACACAAAACCTGCTGAGGAGCTGAGCATTTAGGCCGGCAGCAAAGCACCTGCCTGGCAAGCACAAGGTCCAGAGTTGATTCCTGGTACAAAAATAAAACCAACTGAGCAGGGAACATTTTTTTGTAACAGGGCAGTTATCTAGTAACAAGGGGACTCCTCTGTCATCAACCGCAAGGCCATCATGAAGACCCATCTTGGGAAGCTTAGGGTGGCACCCTGAGGTGCTCAGTGAGCCTCCCTCCCTTCTGGGTACTTAGTGATCTCTCACTCAACTTTTGTACAATGACACGGTCACGAGCCACCTAGCTTGGTGGCCACACAGGTCTCCAAAGTGCTTGAAGATGGCTCCTTTATTGGGAAGACCAGATATATACAAACAGGGCCACTAGACAGTGAATCTGTGAAACTTTGCCCTCAACTGACATTCAAGCAGTTCCTCCAGCTGTCTGCAAAGGCCAGTCTGGAAGATTTCCACCATCTTTTTTTTTTTTTTTTTTGTCTTTTTCCTTTTTATCGGTACCGGGGATCGAACTCACGACTGCCTGCTTGCAAGGCAGACGCTTATGCCGCTGAGCTAAATCCCCAGCCCCAGATTTCCACCATCTTAACAGCAAAGCTCAGACTTCCTGTGGCTCCCTGGCTGTAAAATCACTTCCACCCCAACTCCTCCCCCAGAAACACCATTTTGAGACTTCTTGAAAGATGGGAAATTGGTTCAGTCACTCCAATGTCCCATTACATGGCACAGCAGAGGTATTCAAGGGACATGGACATGCAGAGAATCATCAAAACAACATAGGTATGGTGGTACACACTTGTAATCTCAGCACTCTGGGAAGCTTGGACAGGAGGGTCATGTTTTGAGCCCAGTAATACAGTGGGACCTGGCCTCGAAATTAAAAGAGGGATTAACAGTGTAAAAGCCTTGGGCTTAATTTCCAGGGCAAGGAGAAAAGGAAAGGGAATAAACTTAATGGTCAACTGGTCTAACTTATCCTGGCTCAGAGGCCAACCAGAGCCCATCCAACTAAGGCCTGGGTCAGGTACTTCTTGGTGGGCCCCACAACCCCTTACTTGTAAAAAGTGGACTACTTTGAGCAGATGGCCCCCAAACTGAGGGCTGTAAAGCAGGTTCTTTGGGGCAATCTGTGGCTGTCTAACATGGTATCAAAGCCTCAGTTGATCATCCAGCTCAATGTCACTTTTACTTTTTATCTTCTTTCTAACACAAAAACAGAAAAAGAAAAATCTAAAGGCAGTTAACCCACAGCAACACACTGCAAGGTATTCTCTATGTGTTAGGCAATTTATCAAAATCCTGTCTCAAAAATAAAATGTAGCTGGGAATTTAGCTCAGTGGTTCAAGCACCTGCCTTACAAGCTCAAGGTCCTGAGTTCAATCCCTGGTACAAAAATAAATAAAAAATAAATAAAAACTATACCAGGCATGGTGGTATGTGACTGCAATCTCAGCACTCAGGAGACTGAGGCAGGAAGATTGTCTCAAATTGAAGGTCAGTCTGAATTGTACAGCAAGACCCTCTCAAAAAATAAGTAAAATTGAAAGACTAGGAATGTAGCTCAGTGTGAAGGCTCCAAGTTAAATCCCTAGTACCACAAAATACAACTTCCTAGCCTGGCATCATAGTACACATTTATAATCCTGAAAGAGCTCCAGTGGCGCAATCCGTTAGTGAGTCACTTATATAATCCTGTAATCCCAGAAGCTGAAGCAGGAGAATCCCTGAGACCATGCTGGGGTATACAACCAAGGCAAGACTAACCTGAATTGTGTAGCAAAGTTCTGTTTCAAGAATAAGTAAAACAGGGGCTGGGGATTTAGCTCAGCGGTATAAGCGCCTGCCTTGCAAGCAGGCAGTTGTGAGTTTGATCCCTGGTACCGATAAAAACGAAAAAGAAAAAAAAAAAAAAACAATAAACAAAAACAAAGAATAAGTAAAACAAAATCTCAAACCATGCACAGCCCTCCCCCTCTCTCAGCTGCTGACTTCACAGATGCTACCCAGGCAGCTGTCCTTGGTTTCTTTATATAAAAGATTACTGTTGACCTTGCATGCTTCCTGTTTTCCCAGCTACTAACAGCAGTGGGCCTGGGTGTGGTGGTATGTACTACAGACCCAGAACTAGTAAGGCCGAGGCAGGCAGGTCACTTGAAGCCAGGACTTTAAGATCAGTCTGAGTAACATAGTGAGATGATGCCTTAGAAATACAATGTTGGGGAATTTAGCTTAACAGCATAAGCACCTGCCTGGCAAGCGCAAGGTCCTGAGTTCAATTCCCAGTATCAAAGGAAAAAACAAAAACAAAAACAAAAAACACAAAATGAAACTGAAAAAGCTGGTACCCATAGGTGTGGTACAAAGAGAGCGAGGTTTCTTAGCAAGTGAAGGTTCTAGGTTTGATCCCCAACAGCAAACAAAAACAGTAGCAAAGGAAGCCAGGTGCGGTGGTCCATGCCTGTAATCCCAGTACTCTAGGCTCAGGTGAATTCAAGGTAACATTCAATCAAAACAAAACAAAAAAAAACAAACAACAAACCCTCACACACACAAAACAATAGCCCAAAACAGCAGCAAAGGGACTAAAAACATGTATAATACTGTGTACTGGCACTTGCTTGCCTGCAGACCCAACTACTTGGGAGACTGCAGCAGTAAACTGAAGAATTTAAGGCCACCAGGGCAACTCAGTGAAAAACCCCTCTCAACATAAAAAGCTGGGGTATGGTAGTGCATGCCTGTAATCCTAGCACCCTGAGGACAAAACAGGAAGATTACAAATTCAAGCCAAGCAGAGCAATCTACTGATACCCTGTCTCAAAATAAAAAATGGCTTAGGAACATAGCTCAGTATAAAGGCTTGGAACCACAAAAAGTTAACAGCAAAAGAACTAAGAACGCAGATTGGTGTGAAGGCACAGAGTTCAATCTCCACCATCACAAACCAAGGAAGTGTTATTTAAAATGGGCTGGGGTGTACACGCCCGGACACCCTACAAGTTCCATAGCCACTAAATGCTCACAAGCACTGCCACCTTGGCTGTGCCTGCACCCGGACTCTCCTGGAGGCAGAGGGAGACAGATCGAGTCAGCTTCTACCTGTCATTTAGCCATACTTCTGGAAAAGCTAAAATCAAGACTGGCAACAGGCTATAGCCTTTCTTGTATTTCATCTAATCAGAGACCCACTACAGGAGACCAAGGCACAGTCCTGGCAACCTTAAAATTCCATGTTTATTATAAAGGTCAATGGTGTTTCTTATGATGAGCTTATCGGTAGGATTTCTGGTAACGAGCACGGGCACCAGGGCCTCCAAACTTTTTGGATTCGCAGCGACGGGGATCAGCTACAAGCAGGGTCCGGTCATACTGGATGAGAATATCTTTGATCTCTTTCTTGGAAGCCTCATCCACATCTGGAGATGAGAAACAGTGAAGATTTAGATAGTCTCAATCCCTTCCTTGGCTCTTCTATTTACCCACTAAGAAGGATCCTCTTTGTACTCACATTTCTGGTAATAGGCCACCAGGGCTTTGGAGATAGACTGCCGGATAGCTACAAGGAAGACATGCAGTGCAAAGGTACATTAGCTTTGTGAAGGTCCAAGGGACTGGATCCCAAGGTCATTTCACAACCATGTGCCCAGGTCCTGGAACTCACCGTAAATCTGAGCCACATGACCACCACCCTTCACACGGACACGGATGTCAACACCAGCAAACCGCTCCTTGCCCAGAAGCAGAACAGGCTCCAGTAACTAGTGAGATAGGAATAAATGAAAGTTTTTAAGTTACAACCTGAAGCAGTTTAGATGAATTACCAGGCATTCCTCTTTAACTATATGACTGCTGCCACCACCACCAGAAGTGGATGGGAGGAGTCAGACTGTCACCACAAGGCAGCCTCTGCCATATTCTCTCCTTCCCAGCTCTATGTCTTTCACCAGGGCCTGTTGGGACACTGCTGTTTGGTCTGCCTTTGATTTCAGTTCACAGAATCTCCCCTTTACTCCTTTTTTTGGCTTCTTGTCCCAGCCTTGACCATTTGGACTAGTTTTTAGTACTAGATCCAATCTATATCCCTGTAAATCTGGGACACGTGCCAATCTTTTCACTAATTTGGGAGCTCCATAACGACAGGACCTAGGGTTATCTGGGTTACTGCTGTTTCTAAAGCTGAACACTGTACATACATATTCTTCGAATAAACTGACAGCC